TCTCCACTATGAAGCCTATTCTAGCACTCCAGCCCTAAAGCCCTTTCCCTTCCCTGAACCCTGTCTGTAATTACTCATTGAGGCAGATATATGGCCACACAAAAATATTATGATAAGGTTATGAGGGTGACTCATCACAAAATCTTGGTATCAGACTCATTACATTATTGTCATACATCATTTTAAAATCACCTTTCCTTTAAGCACATCTTTCTCCAGCTTCATAGTAGCTTTCTTTTGAAAGGGCCTGGATTTAAATTTCTTTATACTTCCTGTAGCTTTTTGCATTTTTTTTCATGACTTGTCTTTTGCCTTCCAGACATTTGTCATTTTGAGGTAGATTTAACGTACATGAACATGTAATTCAGACACATTGTGGGGTGGAAGGACTGCTAGAAAAGGTGGCATATGAGCTGAATTTGAGTTAAGGGTAGAGATTTGTTCAGGGAATAGGCGAGAAAGTCAGTCCAAGTAGAGGCAGCAGCCTAAGCAGAGGCACAGACATATAAAAGAGTGTAATGTGTTTGGCAGTTAAAGAAATGAAGCGAGGGCAGAGTGGAGAGTGTTAGCAGAGAGGCCATGGGAGGTGTGCCCAAGAAGTAGTCGTGATAAGAAAAATGGCCACATTGGAGTCTGCTTGTTGCAAATCCTGAGAGCTATACTAAAGAATTAAAATGTGGCTCTAGGTCATGAGGAGCGATTGGACAATTTTAAACAAAGGAATGGAATGGTAAGTCTTAAATTTTTAGAAAGATAGCTCCAGTAGCACAAACCCCAGGTGATCTGCCTGTCAACCTTGAAGCATTTCTAGGGTTTGGTCTCTGTCTCTGTGGATAAGGGTTTGGAACATGGCAGTTGTTTCATTCATTCTGAAAAGTTTCTGATCATGGCTTAGGATCCACTCTGTTTTCCGTATCATTTTTCTTTTGAGAATGACACCGAGGATTAAGTTTCTCCTGAAACATCTTTCCTCTCTGGTTTATCTGATGCCTTAATTTGGAGTCTTGAACATAGAATGTGGATAAAGTTTTTCTTTTTCAGGAATGGTTGTCCTGGAAAGAAACATCATGAAACTTGAAGTGCACAGGCAGAATCATTTATTGAGTAGAGAATGAGGGAGCTCTGTTCCCTCTCTTTATTCACTGCACACCACAAATAGGCCAGCCAGAATCTCTTTGCAGGATATAATCAAATGCTTGAGGACTTTTGTTTAAAGGGGCACCCGTTTTCTCATGGTATTCCTGGACCCTGGTGCCATTGCAGTAGCTGCCTCATTTCTCTCACTATCTTCCTGGGTGTCTAGAAGCAGCAGAAACGTGACAGCTTCCCAGGACATTGCGTGGGCGGGAAAAGGTGAAGGCTCCTCAGCTGTGCCCTGAGGCTGACAGGGCAGTTGAGCCTGACTTGAATCTTGGAGGTAATGACTCTACCCCAACCCTCTGCTGAGACCTGCAGGTGTGTGAACTTTGAGCAGTAGCCTCCTCCCAAGAAGTGTTGTGGTTTTATGAGGTAATAAACAGTATCTTTTTAAAAAATCTATTCTCTCTGGTTGTGTTCAAGCTGGGGGTTGCTTAACTCAAAGGATTATTATTGGAATGCAGAACTTTTAGTGCCAAGACATACACCCCAAATCAGTGCTGATTCTTTATTTCTTGAAAAGATTAGTTTTTGTTAGTTGCTTGGTAACTAGAAGACAGAAATACTTAACTCATTCAGCATGGAGAGCTCCTAGTTTGGACAGGACTAAGCTAGCACAAGATGCACAAATGATGGCTTGAGTTGAGTGGTTTCTCTGTGTTCTTTATTATAACCCATACTTCATTTGTGCACAGAAGGTGTTGTTAGGTAAATGGAGGTGAAAAAAATTGCCTAAAACTGCAATCTATAATGGCTGAAATTTTGATACTGTTGTTTGGAAGGGCTTTTGTTTTTTGTTTCTGGTATAAAGAATGGCAGTAGCTTCCATTATCACATTCCCAGAAGGCCAGTTCTTCTAGAACTGGGAGCCTCAGGGCAGTCACTGAAGCACAGTAAAGGGAAAGAACACTGCTTTAGAATAGATCCCCTGTGTGACTTGGGCTGAGCCCCTGGGTCTGACCCTCAGTGCCTACATGCTTGGTATGAAAATATGACATTTTGCTTGACACCTCAACCACCTGAGAATCACATGAGATGAGGCATATGGAACACTGTTGTAAACTGTTAAGGAAATAAGAGGATCCAATAGTTCCAAGAATAGAATTAACTTAGCAAGGTTGAAGCCCTTGGCTAGTATCGCATTGGTTGGGGAAGAGGAAGGACAGAGATTTTTCTACAGAGCTGGAGGAAAAATCTACTTAGAGGAACCAATCAGGCACTTGTTACCAAAAGCTCTTTGCTTTAGGTAGCCCAGTGAAGACACTGCCTGAGACTCTCATGGATAGTCAGGCAGCATCTCAGAGTGAGGGATCAGGCTTCCAGACATACTCTCATCCAAACTCTTCTCCTCTCTCTGCTGGCTAGTCTCCAGACTTTGATTTTGTAGAGGAAGCAAGAACGCTGCACACTTCTCATTTGAGACCATATGCACTCTTTAAGGATACCTTATTTATCTAAAAACATGTTGGTTTTGATTCCTCACCTTATGGAAAGGTTTACTTGGATCTCTGGTTTTGATCAATGAAGCTGGTGTGGTCTCAGGAAGAAAGAATCCTCTGGATCCCTCATTCCTTCTCCCTTCAGTGTGTCTCCTTTTGACAAAAGGTTCTCTTGGAGATGTTCCACTTGGGTTCCACAGCATTTGTGTGGCTACAGCCTATATGCTGTCATTGTGCAAGGTCTTTAGTGCCTCCATATTATTGTAATCAAAGCAGTTGTTTCTCAATCTAGGAAAGTGGTTCAGCTTTGGCTGGAAGCGCTGGTTGTTGCTTAGTGGTTTGCTGGTTCTTGCCCGGTGACTGGCCTTGGATTGCTGGAACTCTTAGAAGGAAGCTGCCCTTTCTCCTTCCTGACCACTGATCCCTACAACCATAAAACACATGGAAATAGATTTTTGAGACTGTCCAAAATACACACTGGTAGCTTGACTCACATTATTTCAAATGTTACCATTTTGTGATTGTGGCATTTTAATATTTAAAAGTCACTGCTGGTTCATAGCTGTGGTAGGCATATTTTGTTAACTTTAAGTATTGCTTTATTTAATGTTAAGATGTATTCAAAGAGAACTTTAGGATAAGTCCCTTTCTAGATATAAGCTCTCACACAATTGCTCAGGAAATTGGAACAAACAAAATTAACAGAATGGGCTCAATACTTTGACTTCTATGTATTCACCTTTTGATATTGTTGTTTTAATAGGACTATGCACTTGGGATAGTATGTGGATATCTGAGTTCAGATAGCAGTGATAGGAAATCATAAGTAGGAAAAACTCACAGAATTTGAGAGCACACATAGGTAATGCCCAGGCATATGATTGTGAAGTTGATATAATGCACAGAATTCTTTTGTGTTGCTCTGAGGAAGTGACCCATGTAGAAGCGCTTTATAAATTCTATTTTTTAAATGTTTTTTGAGACAGGGTCTCTCTGTAATTCAGGCTGGCCTTGAACTCACTATGTAGTCCAGGCTGACCTTGGACTCCCAGTGATCCTCCTGCCTCAGCTTCCCAAGTTCTGGGATTGCAGGCATGCACCACCACATCCAGCATAAATTATAAACCCTCTCCCAGGATAGGGGCTAGATGGAGAAACTGAGCAGCTTGCCTGGTAATTTTGTAAACATTTATTGAGTACCTACTGTGTTTTGCCCTTTAACACGTACTGGAATCTGACTCTTGGAACTTCTCCATTGTTGCATTTAGGTTCCTCAAAATAGCCCTCCTGCTTATGCTCAACTCTTTTAAAGCTGCTTCTAGAATAATTGAAATCAGGACATAAAGAATTACCTGAGAAGTGGAAAATATTTTTGCTACTTTGTCTGTCTTCTTTTTCCTTTGTTCTTTCCCTCTAGGTGCTCTTGAAAAGTAGCCACTTCATAGTTTCCAAGTTCATCTCACATCCAGTTCCATTCATAGGTGGAAGTTAAGTGGCCACATTTGGATTCTGGGAGAAGGAATCTGATTGACTTAGCTAGGTCACATGTCTATCCCTAGTCCAGTAAAATGCAGTAGTAAAGACATAAGTGTTACATAGTTTCTACTCCACAACTAAAAGTCTTCTTTGTCGTGCATGAGAAGAGGAGACAACAGTTATCATGGTAAACAACTGACAAAGTCCTAGGCCTCACAGAGCTTATCATCTAGGAGGAGAGAAGTCATTACACAGATAATTGTGAGGTGATATGACAGACCTAACTTGGAGTAGGAGATCCTGGACATCTTCCCTAAGGGATGGTGGGTAGGATTAGTAAAGGAACAGGAGGACAAGGATCCTGGGGAAGGTAAGGAATTAATTTTTCAGATAGAATTAGCAGAGGCAGGGAAAAGCCAAGCAGCAAGAAAAAAATCTGGCCATTTGCAATGTGGGAAAAAATAAATCTGGGAAATTTTTACAATAATGGCTTAATTATGTGACTGTTCTTTTTGGGTTAGATTGGAAGTTCTTTGAGGGAAGACCATCTTTTATTTTGCCTAGTTTGCCTGTGGAATTAGTATGTGGAAAATTTTACATGGCAGGGCACATTATATCCATTGGGTATCCTCTTGCCATTCACTGGGAAGATGGATTGCATATCCACATGGAGTATGCTTTCTCCCCCTGCAGGTTGGCAAAGAGGGATAAAAGGGAAATTAGGGTCACTTTGGAAGGGTAAATAATTGCCATTTTTTCCCTATATGTGTACTATTTTTACATCATATTTTCCCCTGCCCCCCTCCTCCCCTCCTCCAATGCTTGAACAGATGTTTTAATGGACATTGTTGGCTGTATTTTTGTTTTGAAAATTTTAAAACATTATTGAAAGAAGAGAAGGCTAGAAAAAAACCCATAATTGATTCTAATATATATTTAATTTGGCAGAACTTGAGAGAGACTTGCTGGGATAAGGCGGGACACTTCTTTGATCTTCCAGACTTTTTATCATGGAAGGCAACAGGTGTCACAGCACGGTACGTTACTTCCAAGTTGGATTTTATTTGTGCCCTTCCATTCTCGGGTGTCTGTACATATATATTGCTTTCTTAACTCTCTTTGACTGGACGTACTGTTTGTACATCTGCATGTGATTTTGCATACTTGGAACATCTTGAATCTATCTTCCACCTCCACTGCTCATGCCCAAACACCAGTGTTCCTCTGAGGCCTGGCATGTGAGTTTCTGAGCTAAAGACCATTCATTAAAACTGGACACATTTGAAGAAGATATGAAAAATCTAGAGTGAAATGTGACTGTTTTTCCAAAGGCACTTTTAACATGATCAATATAAAAATATATATGTATACCCTTAAAATTAGGACAGAGTATATTTTTCAAGGAAGCTGATTTTAATGGGGTATATGTGGTATGAACTTATTTTGCTTTTTATATAGATGTGACTCAATAATCCCCTACTGTGGAGGCATGTGTATTGAAATTTAACAACCATTTTACAGTAAATTATAAATGTTGAAGTATATGTGACGTGACGGATTTTTACAGAATACTCATTGAGTGTAAAATCCTCACTGCTGTATAACAAAATGGGTGTGTTCCTGAGTGTAGATAGGTTGGACACAAAATGAGTGTAGATAGACAAGTTGGACTTGGAATCTCTAAGTATGACAAATCCGTTGTCATCTTGACCTTAGATTTAAGGGGTGCACCAGGGTGGGAAGGCTCCTCAACTTGAAAAGGATTTAGAATTTGGATTATGCAAACCTGAGATGAAGAGGATTAGTTCCCAGAGGACAGATAAGTCTGTGTAACTTAGGGGACAGGTATTGTGCCTTAAAGTCAGTGCCTTCAGGTGGAGGCAAGTCCTCCCCGTTTTCCTTATTTAAACTCAAGGGATGTTGGAATTAGCAGCGCCATTTCCCCTGTGCTGCTCCTGTCTATCCTGTTTTGTAGGGTTGGGATCTTTTCTTGTGGTCAGTTGATAAGAGTGTAGAGTTCAACAGCAGAAGCTTCCAGAAAGAGATAGTAGAGGATGTTTCACAAGTGTGTCATTCTTCATGTCACTCCCAACATTCATCCAGTGATGCAATTGTTAGCCAAAAATCTCAGTGTGGAGGGGACCCTGGTGTGCATGAATCGAGCCTTAGCAAACCTTAAGTGCTCACCTATCAGGCAAGCGCGTCTTGGAGGTGTGGCCTTATCTTTGCCTTAGACAGTGCAATTAGCCACCATTACAGTGTTCACCCCCAGAGAAGGCAGTGTGTGCATATGCCTGAAGACCTTGTCTTGAGCATTTCTCTTTTGGTGTGACATGGTCTGAAGTTATTTCTGAGAGGAGTTATTTTTTTTTCTTCTACTTTTATGCAGCAGTGAAAGAAACATTTTGATAATTTTACCCAAAGAGATCTCTTAGTCAAAGCATTCGCAGTAGTTGTCTATTTGCAGGCCATTGGCCTACAAGTCTTGAGGACTCAAAAATGGAGTGAGAGATAGAGGAGGATGTGGCTTTCCTCCTCTTTTTTGGGGGGGGCGGTGTCACCTAGTGCTTTGACTTCCTCTCTGCTTTACTCTGATGGCTTTGAATGTTTACATGTCCACTTCCTGGTGTCTGATGCCATATTCAGCACTGAGGAGAGGGCTTTGTGAAGAGCTCTGGCTCAGATGGACTTAAATGAAATGGCACACTGAAGTCACACTGCGACTTGTATTCCTCACTAGCTGTGTGACTTTTAGCATGTCTCATCTCTTCTTTTGAGTCTCACTTTCCTTAGGATATCTACCTACAAACTTGTGAGAGTTCTATTATGGCAATTTTCCTAAACTACCCTAATTATAAGAATTACCCAAATCATTATTCAAACCATACATCTCTAGGAGTTGTAGTTTTCAGTCTACTGAATCAGAATCTCCCTGGCAGATCTGAGAATTTGTATGTTTAACAAATACTTTTATGGTTAGGTTCATATTGGTCAGATTAGTTTGAACAATATACAGAATATACATAAAAGTTGTATGTGACTCTGAGATGCTCCATGTCTGTTAGAGATCGGAAGTATTTTAAAGGCCCAAGGAATTTAGTGACTTAAAAATTGGAAGGCTTCTTGTTGACCTATCAGAACATATTTGGAATCCTCCACCCCTATCTATGACAATGTCAGACCCTGAAGAAACAGAACGTTTAATGCTCAGAAAGGATTTATTTGCCATCCATCATTTCTGCCATTTTTTATCAGCTATGATGGTTATTCTGTTTTCATCAGAACAAATTATCCTTTCCCTTCCCCCAACCCTGTCCATACTTACAAGCAAGTTCTGTGGCCTCCCTTCCTGTCTCCTTCTCCTGTAGAGCAGATTCTTCAGATCTTGGGCACCAGACACCAAATTTCTCTTGCAAAGTGGTTGCCCATTCCTTGGCTCACTTCCAGCTTACATTTGTCTTGTCTTTCTTCTATTTACTCAGTATCTTAGTTTTTTCCCCTTCTTTATTCTAACCTGCATGATCAAGATGAAAGGGCAATCCCCCCCTGAGCTTTCTAGATTGCAAATAGAGATGATGACAGCACCCACTCCATGATGTTATTGCATGGGCTTGAGATACCAGATAAGCTTTTAATAATGTTACTGAGAAAAAATTTAAAGGAAACAACTCCTTTTAAAAATTTCCTTTCTGAGTTAAAAGCATCATAGCACAGTGATATATGCATACCTGTGTTTATATCAGCACAATTTGTAATAGCTAAATCTCGGAAACAGTCTAGATGCCCATCAACAGATGAATGGATAAGGAAAATGTGGTTTTCATATACAATGGAGTGCTACTCTGGAATAAAGAAGGATAAACTTGAGACATTTTTAGGTAAATGAATGCACCTTGAGACCATAATTTTAAGTGAAATAAATCAAACACATATGTTTAAATATCACATTGGGGGAGGGGGGAGAAGGAAAGGAAAGAAGGAAAAAGAAAGAAAAAGAATCAAAGGAAAAAAGTGGGAACAAACTGGAAACAAACCTTTTGTAAATGGGGTGGGGAAGAGAGGCTAGTGGGTGGGGAGGAGAATGGGGAACAGAAGAATTAAGATATATTACTATTACGTACAGGTACAAAATTACCTATGATGAATGTGATCAATATATATGACAAATATACACTAATAAAAAATAAAGTGTAAAAAATTTCCCTTTCTCTGTGACATTTGGCAGGGAATCCTTACATTAGGTTTCTTGCATAGTGGTGAGAGAGAAACCTTTGTGGTCGGACTGACCCAGGTTCACGGTCTCTACTGTACACTGTGAGAACCTGGAACAAATAATTTATCTCTGTAAGCCTCATTTCCTCAGTAACTTCTCAGGGTGATTGAGAGTTAAAAGTACTGGGGAAAAATATATGCATATAGTATTTAAATAAATAAAGGGTTTTTAAAATAAAAAAACCCACTACTTGTTCCCTCTGCTAAAATAAGAGAAACACAGTTCTAAAATGGAATGAGTCAGTGCCAAAACCCCTTAGGCAGGGGAGCAGAGACTTGGCATCCTCTGGCCCAAGGAGAAGTTAAAATTTGGTGTTCATTTAGCTCTTACATGTGATTGTTTTGGGTGGCTTTGGTAAAATGAGTGCCAGAAAGGCTACAGGGTGTTTTTCCTTTTTGTTTTATTATTCTAGCAGAATCCAGGATAACAAAGTGATTAGATTTCACCTTGTTTTAAAACTTTCAAACTTGTTTTTGGCACTGATAGTGTATAAGAAATCCTCCTTTTTTTCCTCTCCTTCTGTTTTTCTCTCCTCCACCTTTTATTCTTTTTTTATATATTTATTTTTTTCTCTCTCTCACTAGTTGTTTTCATTTTCCAAAATATGGAAGCTACTTTTGCTTATCAAGGTTACTGAGAAAATCACCACCAGGCCTAGGGTTGATTTGTAATTCAGCTCCATTCTTTCTGTTATATTAATGAAAATAATTACTGCTATTTTTCAATAACAATAATGGCAATTATCATTTACTGAATGACTTCCTTTTCTCTGTACTAGGCATATTAACAAATGCTAACTCCATTACTCCTCAACTACCACCTATTAAAGCAGGTGGTGTTGCCACAATTTGACAATTCAAGAACTGAAACAAAACCCCTTAGTAATTTACCACATTCTAGCCAGCAAAGGGGTAACTGTCTAGAACATGAGAAACAGTCAGAAATTTGAATAATAAAAGTTTGTATACTCAGACAAACCGTATATAAATATAAATACATATTCTCCCTCTAAAGAGATTTGAGGTGACTGGTAATAAATAGCATGAATTCAGGTCTGGGGGTGTAGCTCAGTGCAGGCTTATGAAACCCGAGGTCCTGGGTTCAGTCCCCAGCACCAGAAGAGAAAAGCATCAACAAAACACTCACATGATGAAAATGTAAAAGAATCAGAATGGATTGAATATATTAGTAGGGTAACTGAGTTGATGATGAGAGCTTCATAAAGCTGTACTGCTCTGTATAATTACTAATAGATTTGTTTTCAAGCTTCCTAGTGGCTGGCCCACAGGGAGAGCATGACAAGATTAAGTGAGAATCAGATGAAATCCTGGTTGCTGTTCAGAAGAAGCAAAACTTTTTCTAACATTGGGGTCTGAGGGAAATTTCTCTTGTATTATTAAGGGTTGACAACCTTCTGTACATTATTTAAAAGTATGTTCTATCAAATTCAATTATAATTTCATAAAAAACTTTATTTTAAAATAGTTTAAAATGTACAGGAAAGTTACAAATTTGGTACAGTGAATTCCCCCTCTTATTAATGTCTTATGGTCCATTTGTCACCATTAGTAACCAATATTGATTTATTATCATGAACTAAACTACATACTTTACTCTGAGTATTAATTTTTTTTTTTTTCACATAGTGGGCTTTCTTTGCTCCAGGATCCCATCCAGGAAAACTACATTTAGTCATGTCTCCTTAGGGTCCTCTTGACTGACAGTTTCTCAAATTTTCCTATTTTTTTTTTTTTTGATGACCCT